GGGGGGGGGGGAGGAGGGGGATGTTGGTAATTTCTGGAACTATTTTTTTGTTTTTTGTATGTGTTGATCGTTGGTTGGTGGGTCGGTCATAGTTATAGAGTCAATCAGTTGGTCTTTCAGAAAATCAGTCATTTGGTTAAAGGGTTCTTATTTTGGTACATACCAACCACTATTTCTTTTCTAGACTCTTCTCTTTATGGGCACGTTTTCTGTAGAGCCACGTTTCTTCGAGTATGCATACCATGGAGGACCACTTGGGGAGTTAGTACAGTGGACTGATTTAATTTGCTCGCTCTACATTCTGGGTCATGACCTAGATATTAGTGCAAACACAGATGACCTGAAAAAGTAAGAATTCTTAGCCGTTTGCGTTTGCATTACAGTGCATTGTGGGTATGTTATGTTATAGGAGACAAAAAAGACGCCATCTTGGAAATATATTGTCCCTTAAAACAACAGCCCCATGATGCACTCATGTGCCAACGTGACCTAGTTTTTTCCCCTACCTCGGAACAGGTAATAAACTTCATCACTTGACCCTTTCCAAATTTGCTTGAGTGACCATGCAACAATGATCGAGGTTGGATTTACTGTAGGTAATTCAATATTCACTTGGAACCATTGTTTATGGTCGCTGACGCAAATTAAGGTCTCTTCCTATTCACAATGATTCATTGGTTATAGTGCTCAAACGACCACATCAGCAACACTGTAATTTTTTATCATGTCATCATCACATCCTTATCAATATGCATCCTCATCATCATCATCATCACAATCATCACCATTACCATCAAATTAGTGATCAACATGTGATCATCTTCACCTTCACCATCATCATCATTATTATCATCATCATCATCATTATTATTATTATAAACATATGCATAAAGCCCTTCTGATATTTCAAAACATATCCTCAGTCTCCCATTCCCAAACTACAGTCTTTTAGTAGACTACTGTAGATATTATATTAGCTCCCACTAATTGTTATGAAAGAAAATCCTCCCCCCCCCCCTCCCCTCTTTACAATTCGCTATGACGCTTCATATTAAAGTATGTTTTTTGGTTCTAGAAGGCTGAATGTTCCCAAATTAAAAAATTGTGCAAGCGCTTCTAGAGACGATGACTATGACCAAATATTCACTGATTATAATGGGCATAAGCTGATAGCGTTTGCTGTAGGGCCAAACCATTCACAATACAGGTACGAGTACCACCCTGTTGTTACATTTCATTGCTCTTTTGTCATCAATCATCAATATAGAATGATTTTCCTCTTACAGTGAGACCGTTAGGCTAAGGTAAAAAAATAAAATAAAAATCTTATATTCAAGTGTCTAGTCGTTCTAACGCTTTCGCATTGATTGGGGACACTTTTCACTCACGCACACTAGGACTGCTTTCAATGCTCTATGCACACAACGCTCAACTCATATATGTTGATATTTGAAAACGAACTTCACATGAGCCGAACCTAATTGAAACAATGGATAACATGGGGTCTTCTGTGATGTCACAATGTTCGGCTCATGAAGTTCGACGTTTGACATGAGCCTTAGTAGAGTATTAGAGGTTAGTAAAACTATTGTTTTCTTTTGTCTCTATTTGACTTTTATACACTAACTACTAGAAACTGTTTCACGTCGGTTTGAGGAAAATCAATGTAAATCTCATAGTCTTTTTATCAGTCTTCAAGTAAGGAGAAAGCACTGCACGACGTCATGTGCCATCAACTTGAGAATATTATATTGCTTGATATCAGATCATTTGAATGAAACGCGTGAATCTCATTAAGATTTTTCAGTAAGGGGTAAACACTGCTAGTCATTTGTTAGAGCAGTTTTCGTATGACTGTGAAAAGCTCAGTGCCGGAAGCGTGAGGTGCCGTGACCGTGATACTTTCTAGAATTTTAATTGGCTGATTTTTTTCACGCGCAATGTGATTGGTCTGGCATTGCCGTGACCTTGGCGTGACCGTGCCCACTCCGTGTTTATGGGTATTTGATTGGATGAAGAGCAAATTCTCGTGCAATGTGATTGGTCTGGCGTATCCCTAGCCGTGTCATGGCCGTGTTCGTGCCGTGAATTTTTCACAGTCATACGAAAACTGCACTATGAACCTAGGAGTATTATATTGCTTGGAACAGTAATTTCGCGCGCATGGGCTAGAGTCCCGTACGAGTGTTCGTCGATATTCTACGTTTGCTTAAAGGTGAATATTTTGCATATAATCCTTGACAGGTGCAAGATACGGATTTTAGATTCATTTGGCACGGACGCGGAGTTTAACTTTGCTGAATATTCCGAGCCAATTCCTGGTGGCAGGTCACCCTGGGCAAATGCTGACGTCAATCTTCGCCAGATCTTTACAATGTTTCGTGAGTATMGATAGTTTTAGATCATACGACGTATGTTCCTCTCTTCCTTACGACACGGGGTTCCCGAGCGCCAAACAAAGTAAAAGAAAAGAATGAACGCTATGAAGAAGGCTTGCAGGTGGAAAAATCAACCAAGTTCAGTTCAAATATCATGTAGAACAAAGAAGAACAAATTCAAATATTTATTGTTGAAAAAGATATTTATTTGTTATTCATTTTATGTTTTGTAGCCCACAGTCCCGATAACTCGTTTTTGGGTTTTGTTGTGGATTCGCCTGTGAACGACACAAAGGTGAAGAAAGTAGAGAAGAAGAGCAAGAAACCTATAGGTCTTGTCTACGGTAAAGAAGCACGGTTTTGGAAGGTAAGACACATAGATGGTACTAGTTTGCTGGACGACTGGCTGGACGACTATGTTTGTCTCGGGAAGTCCTCAATACAAGGGTTCTCTTTAACTAAAGTGGCTATTATGAAAACAAACAATTAAGAACTAGATATCCACTTTGCATGCATTGATTCACTGCTCAAAGTCAAAGCGCTCTATCTTAGCTATTAGGTACGAATTTAAAAAATGCTTTAAAATTACCAACTACCTTTATGGCTCGAGTGAATTCTTTGTTTAACCAGTGAACAGATGTATGGAAGATGGGACTCGTCAATGTGGTTCTCCTCTGTTACCCACAATCCCATGCCTTGGGGCCGGTACGCAGGCTAATTAATATACCGTCTGATGATATTGTGTAGACACATGTTCCAAGTAAATTGTATTGAAGGAATAGAAAACGCGCGCGCGTGCTGTGTGCAGTTATAAAGAACGCGGGGATTGGCAGAACACGAGAAAAGTGCTAGGAGAAGCACGATGCGTAGCGGAGTGCTTCTTGACACTTCTCGAGTGTTCTACCAATCCCCAAATGCTTTATAACTCCACACAGCGCAGCAAGCAAGTTTTTTATTTCTTTTATAAAATGCAAAGGGCGCTTGTGTGCTGTGTGCTCTCATAAAGCACTCGCTTCCAACAAATCAGAATGCGAGATGTATAACAGTTATTTTATAATTTTGTATTCTACAGGGTCATAAAGACTACCTTGACACACTGAGCAAGTATCTAGAAATGCATGCCACAACTTCGGGTCCGGTAAGTCAGTGCTAAAGATTGATTTCTGTAAAGTGTTACATGCTTCTGCCAAAGAAAAATACGGTAAATTTCGACTTCGATGGTGCGCGCTCTACCAAGATCCATAAAAAGAGCGGAAAATTTTGACTTCCAGTAAGTGATTCACGCGTAGGTATARCAAAAAGAGAAAACACAGTAAAAATTGTGACTTCTATTAAATGGTGCGCGGTCTACCAAGATCCATAAAAAGAGCGGGAATTTTTGACTTCCAGTAAATGATTCACGCGTACGTATAACAAAGGAAGAAAACACAGTTAAAATTGTGACTTCTAGTAAATGGTGCGCTGTCTACCAAGATCCATAAAAAGAGCGGGAATTTTTGACTTCCAGTAAATGATTCACGCGTACGTATAACAAAGGGAGAAAACACAGTAAAAATTGTGACTTCTAGTAAATGGTGCGCTGTCTACCAAGATCCGTAAAAAGAGCGGGAATTTTTGACTTCCAGTAAATGATTCACGCGTAGGTATAACAAAGGAAGAAAACACAGTTAAAATTGTGACTTCTGGTAAATGGTGTGCTGTCTACCAAGATCCATAAAAAGAGCGGGAATTTTTGACTTCCAGTAAATGATTCACGCGTAGGTATAACAAAGGAAGAAAACACAGTAAAAATTGTGACTTCCGGTAAATGGTATGCTCGTCTACCAATAGACGTTGGTTTACGAGTCCGGCGGATCGCAAAAACCGCAAAAATAAAATTAGAATTGTTTTCAATTATTTGATCTCCGCTTGAAACGATAAGAACTTTGAACAACATATCCTACGAGGAAGACTTCAAACGTAAAAGACTGTATTTAAGGAAAAGGCGGGAACTTCTTACGGGTAAATGGTACGCGCGTCTAGCAACTTGAAAAAAGCGGGAAGTTTTGACTATTTCTGATTAACGCGCGTGTACCGGGGGGGGGGGGGGGGGGGGGGGGGGGGGGGGGGGGGGGGGAAAGAGAGAAATAAAGAGAGAAAATAAATGAAAATAAGAAAGAAAGTTAATCAGCTGCTTTTAAATCCTAGGAAGGTGATCTCAAAAGCTTGCCTGATTACGTCATTAACCATGGAATCCTTAAAGGTGGTGATCTACAAAAACTACTCGATCAATCAAAGGTATTTATAATGAAGCGTTACAGTAAGTTGGTCCTTCGTCTGGTGACAAGTAAGAAAAGCAAAAATATCTTCTTGGAATGCGAGCTATTTATATAGTCCCCTTCACAGTTCCCTGCACCATCTTGAAAGGTAGCCGTGCCTTTGCATCGAAGCGAGACGAACGGTGAGYTTGCATGTTGCATGTTTGATGTTGCCTGTTGCATATTGCATATTGCATGTTGCTCAACAGCTTAAGAGTGAATGTCAGTAAAAATCAAACAAAATTTGAAAATTCGAGGACACGGCCAAAAAATCGATTCGGCTTACATTTTGCCTATTGATAGGACTGGATGAGTAGGTAAAGGAAATAGGAGGGATTTGATCAAATATCTATTATTTTGAGAAATTACGAGCAAAAACGATTTCAGCCTGACTTTCGCTCAATCCGACCCAAAGCGACCTCGGTATTTAGGCG